ATTCCTGCACATCCATTATTTGTTTGTTTTCTGTTGTGATTGTTCTGTTATTCACAAAAGAAATAAGAAAACATATGTATCATATTTTTATAACAATCTACTACAGAGTAAGGTACAAAAGAACACTTCTGGAAACAGCAGAAGCCAGGCCTGCACCACTGAATTCCTCATCCAGTGGTAATAATTATATCAACAGCTGGGAATTAAGAACAAGAATATACAGTTTGGAGGACGTAGTACAGAATTATAGTTTGCTTCTGTATTTGGTACCAATATAATAAATATATAACAAAGATACACTTGTTCTAAAAATTAAACTGAAACATTCTGGTTGGTTAGATACTGCACTTTCAGTACTGCACATCACCTAATTTATTTTATTTTATTTTTTTACAAAAGAAGGTAACTTATGCAATGTTTAATAAGAAGAAAACCAATAGTACACGCAAACCCGATTGTAGAAAAAGAGGAAAGAAACCAACAAAAAGCTAGAACACTTTCCAAAACATCCCCTCCTCGACTTGCACAACCAAAGAATGTAGCCAGTTCTGAGACAATTTCAGCACCAGACCTGTCTGGACAGCTCCAGGATCCTCTGTGAATCCTGAAAATGCCACAAGTCAAAGGTGTACAGATGGGGGAGCGGGGCAAGGACTAAAGCAGTAGATTCTTTCTTTATTTTCTTTCTTTGTTTCTTTCTTTCTTTGTTTCTTTCTTTCTTTGTTTCTTTGTTTCTTCTTAAAACTCATTTATAGATTTTTAATGAACTTATGCTCGGCCAGCGAGGGACATTTCTAAAAGTAAATTAAAATGCCTGGTCCTGGAAAAGAGAATGGTTAACTAAAGGTGAGAAGAGGGCTGACTGGAGAGCGGTACCTGTCATAAACGTTTTTCTGGGACAATCTCTGGCCTCTTGAGGTCCTGGTGCTTAATGTTTACGTTTTCTTTATAATATACTATTGCCTGAGTCCGGCTGAACGTGGGAATGGGGAAGGGAGGGAAGCTGAAGGAAAAGTGGGGGTGAAGGGGAAGAAAGGTAACTGAACCTTAACTTGACAGCTATGTACAACATACCAGGCCCCCTCCACTCCCTTTGTTCAGGGAGTCAATGTCTTTTACATGTTTGGTAGCTTGTGCGGTCTCTCCTCCATATTGTGGGGGCGCAGGTTGGAGAGGGAAGACGCGTCCTTCACTGACAATGAGAACTTATGTGAGTTGTCATGCGCTTGGATCGTGTTATTAATATTATAATAATTACTATAAATAATAATAATAAAGTATTATTATGAGCATTATTTCTTCTTCCGAGACTTTCCTCGCCCAATATTTACAAATACCGCACAGTGCCTCGGCGGAGGAGAAAAAGAGAAGGGGGAAGACAAATAAGGAAAGAAGGGAGAGGAAACGGAGGCCACAGGAAAGTGGAAGAGGAAGGCCGGAGGAAAAAGAGCAAGGACGGCAAAGATGCTGGAAACGAGGAAGGGAAGAGGAGAGGGACTAGACAATCAGGACAGTACCACCGTTTGCAAAAGGCCCTCGCCAGCTGGGTCCAAACTGGAGGAGGCTGTGTGCGCTCCTTGCGGACTGGGGGCCGGTGGTGGAGGCGGAGGAGCACAGGGACGCTGGCACGGGAGGCCAGGGGAAGAAGAGGCGTTGGATGAGGCGCAGAAGGCAGCGTCTCCGCCCTGCTTCTCCAGCCGGCATTCTTTTGCTTGGTTTGGGGCCTGGCCGCGCTCGGGTTGGGGAAGCCCCCTGCCGCCGCGGTTGCCGCTGCAGTGATCCCGCTCATATTCCTCCTGAGCCCTCTGCATCTTCCGTTTCTTCATCCTACGCTTGTGGATGTGGAAGGTGGAGAGGGACAGCACGATGAGGCAGAAGATGAGGGTGACCAAGACAATCAGCACCAGCGTGGAGGAGAACGAATGGAAGAGCTGCTGTCCCACCTGCGTGATGCACGTGCCGCCGCCGCCTCCTGCGCCCGGGCCACGGGCGCTCGCGTTGCCCGTACCGCTGGCGTTGGGGGAAGCAAAGGTCCGGTTGAGGAGACACGGCGGCAGCGCCAGCCTCAGCTCCTTGGGCTCCCTTGCACTCATCGGCGCTGGTCTGGGAGGGGCCAGGCACACCAGACTTCCTCTTCTGGGCACACGGTTCCCACCAGCCAAGAGGACGAAGCCCGCGCCACCCAAAATTACTCCCTGGTGTGGGAGGGGATGCGCTAGCGAGCGAAGGACTGAGGGAGCAACTGCGGGCAAGCAAGCCGGCCAGGGAGCGAGCGGTGCCCAGGAGATCCTCTCCGGCCCCGCCTCGAACGCGTGTTCGCGCGCCCTTTTCCTTTGCCAAGGCACCAGGCTGCAAAGAGAACAGGCTTAGTTAGGATCCCAGCTGCTGCCCGGGGGAGCGCTGAGAACCGGAACGATCACCGCCACTGCAAGGCGGCCCTCTGAGCACACTGCCTCAGCTGGGCGCCGCCCGTCTTCTCCGCAGCCCGCGGACCCCAGCCCGACCGCCCGCCCCTGGCCACGCACCAAAGCCTCCGGTTCCGCGTTCGCGCCACTTTGCTGGGAAGAGGGTCTGCGCCGGCACCGCGGAGATGCCGATTACTCAGCAGATAAAGCAGCATCCTGAGCACTCCACAACTTTCTAATCGCAACACACACTCAGCCACGACGGAACGCGGTCCCTGCTTCCCAGAGCTCCGACTCTCCTCTTTCCGGAGCCCTCTCAATGGATGTCTTCGCCTGGATCCTACCTTTCCCAGCACCCACCCCGGGCCGCCGAGCCGGCTCCGGGTACGCAATCCTCCCTTCCTTTCCCTCCCCCTCCAGACTCTCGCTCCCTGGACGTTGTCAGATCCCTTAGGTCCCAATCCCATGGCGGTAACCCTGGAGCCACATCCCACTCCGCCTCTGTCCGCGGCTGAGGCTGACACGCAGGATCGCGCTCCATCCTTTCTCCATCCTTCTTCCCTGGTACCTCCCCAACCCCCCCGCCCCC